AATAATCGAATATTTATTAATCAAGATTATGTTATAGTTACAATATATGCAATTGCATGTCTTTTATTTTTTCCCTTAGCTATTGATTTTGTTTCATTTGCTAATTGAGATCTCATGATTTGTTCTATCTTATTATGGATGATTTTGATATTATATAAAAGACAGCATGAATCTGTTGTTATAGGCCATTTCAATAGAGGGAAATAGATTCTATTCCAAATCTTTTTAGAATGTTTATACAAGTCTTGAAAAGTTTCATTTAATGATTTCATTATCAACATCTCTTCTGAATTATAATTAGAACCAAAAATATTAACTTTATAGTTCGTGATGTCTTTACCCCATATAAATTCTCCAATGGTATTTTGAGTCCATTCAGTTAAAAGTTCTGAAATATTAATAATTTGATTTGATTTATTTTTTATAAACAATTTTTGTGTGTTCCGATAAGCAATTTGAGATAAATATTCGATATTATTATTTATCACATGAATTAATATAGTTTTACGTTGATTGAAACAATATTCAGAACTTGCACTAAAAGAGATAGAGCTTGGACCTAATCTACTAAATGAAAATAAAGCTGGACTATTATGATCTATATTTTTTCTAATCTGTTCAATTAATTTTTGACATGTTTTTTTATTTGTTCCATATAATTGTATTGAAAGACCTCGAAATATTCCAATTAAATCATTTTGTGATTGACATATATAATCATGACTTTTATTTTTTAAGAGTAATTTAGTCACTTCTATTTCAGCACCAATCACTGGATAAGATTTTATAAATTTGATTCCTTGATTTTTATAAAAATTATATAATACGATACAATTATATAACTTATAAATTAATATGATAAATAATAATACTAAAATTAATTGATAAAACATTTTAAGAATTTTTTCAATATAATATATTTTTATATATTATTTGATATTTTTTAAATTTAATAAAATGATTTTATTTTTATACTATATTTCATTATTAATTAAAATTTTATAAATTATTAATCAGATAAATATAAATAATAGGACTGAATATAAAAAAATAAAAGATTTTTTGGTATATCAATATCAAAATCTATGAATTATTAATTATTTATCTACTTATAAGATTCAAAAATAGCAAAGAAAAATTATTAAAAAATTCTTTAACAAGATGAATAATATTATAGAATTTGAAAATAAAAAATATAGTGATTTATACAAAACTATAATAAATCGAATTTTTGTAATTATCGATAATTGTTGTGAGATTTATGAATTTAAAATTCCTACAAAAGAAGATAATACTGGAGATTATATTCATTATTTGTATAATTTAAGAAATGAAAAAAAATTATCTAATGTTGATAAAAAAATTAAAGAAGAACTCGAATCATATGAATATGATGAAAAATTACAAATTTATATTAAAATGTTAAAATCTTATTATAATTAATAATTAGATTTTTAATAAGAAAAGAAAGAATTAAGTAATGATATTAGAATAAACAATTATGTTTATTTTATTATATGAGAATTAGTAATTTTATTTTTTTTTATTTATTTAGATACATATCAAAGATATATTTTTTTTAATAATTGATTAATATTATTTATATTTATTTTTGATAATGATATTATTAATTCATTGAAATAAATGTATGATTTTTATTTATTTAAACAAATTATTTTTTTTATCGATAAATAAAAATGGGTTTTGATACATTAAAAAAAATCGATCAAGAACTCATTGATAATTCAGAAAAATATCATGGATTATCTAAATCGGATATTAGATATCAAGAATGTTTGACTATATTACATGTTCTTGGAAAGTACTCTGGTTGTATTCCAGAACATAGCGGTCGAATAATTCTACAAATGTTTAAATTTTTTAATGATTCAATTCGATATCGTCTTCTTTTAGATCATGTGTTAAAAACAATCAACTCAGATGAATTTTGTTTAAAGGAAACAGGTGAAGATAATGATGAACTATTTGAAAAACGAGTGGATAAATTACAAGATATTATTGAATTTATTGATCATATTCAAAAACCTTTCAAGTTATTGTCAATTAATGCCATTCCAAAATTTGTTAAAGTAAATCAATCATTGATAAATGATCCTTGGATTAAGATTTATAATATGTGTCAAACGGATAAAGATAGATTTAGACTTCTTCAAGAATCATATTTAGAATTAAAAATTGCATTAAGTCTTACAAAATTACGTAGAAATTTTATTGAAAAGATTACTAGAAATGATGATGAAAGAGCCCATCAGATATCTTATCTCGAATTTAAAATGAAAGATAATCTTGGATTGATATATTTTCAAAATATCAATTATGATGATTTCAAAGTTCTAATTCGTTATAAAAACATTACTTCAGATTTTATTTTAAATAAAATTATTAACAGTGATCTTCGATTTGGGATTGAAAAAAAGGAAAGTTATGGTAATTGTGATACATTAATTCAACATGTATTTAAAGATTTAAATGAATCATGTGATGTTATTCTAGATAAATATTTTAAAAAAAATAAGATAAATATACTTTCTCTAGACAGTGTAAAAATTTTATTGTATTCTTTGGGTTATATTGAAGATAATATAGAATAATAATAATAAAATATGATGTTGTTTTGATTTTATTATTAAAATTATTAATTTATTAAATTTTCACTTTTTTTTTCAATAACATTTTTATCACGTGTTTTAATTTTTGTTAAAATAAATATTAGAATTAAAATTATAAGCCAACCAAAGAAAATGTAATACCAAAATTTCTTGGCTTTAATTTCTATAATACCAAGCAAAATTTCTATCGGAAGACAAACAGTTATAAAATATGCTAAATAATCATGAATTAATCGTATTTTATTTATATGATATATACGATTATAAATGATACCGATAATAACTTCTAAAATAATAAGTGGAACTAATATATGTCCCATAGTCTAGAAATTTAATATGTTAAATAAATATTTTTTTTATCAAAATTAATATTAAATAACAAACATACCGTGTGTGGAGTATTGATCCATATAAAACGTGATTCCTCTACTGAATAATGATTAATAGAGAATCCGATAACAACAGGTAATGCAAATAAAAATGTCTTCTATAAAAAAAAATATTTTATCGTATCATTGAAATGAAGAAAGATTAGTAGAGCATTTAAAATATAATATAAAATATGACTCACTGAATTAAAATATAATTAGTAATTTTAATGATTAAAAGAATTAGTAATTTGTATATAATAATAATTTCAAATATTAATAACAATTTATATATATACTTGATTAACCCAATGTATGTTAAACCAGATATTAGGTAGAATTTTACGACCAAAATGTCCAATGAAAATACCAAAGGGAAAAAATAAAAGACATGCAATTGCATATATTGTAACTATAACATAATCTTGATTAATAAATATTCGATTATT